GACCCTCAGCTAATAAACCAGATCCCAGAGTACTCCTGGTGTCGATCCTTCATCTGCCAGCCGACTCATCACCCAGCTTTATGGGTGCCTACTCTGCCCTCAAGCTCAGAGTTTACTGTGTGAAGTGCAAGGACCCTCCCTCCCTACTGACCTGGGGCTGCCATCGCACACAGGCACTGAGGGGACCTCAATCTGCAGGCCACCAGCTGGGGGGAGGGGTGGTGGAGCGGAACCTCTGCTTTTCTTTCACCTCCTCCGGGCGGGTAGGGGGAGGGCACCAAAGTCTCTGAGCCCTGAGTGAGCTCAGGAGTCCCTGGTCTGCATGTCCAGCCCAGTTTGGGTGGCTGTGAGACTGGCCCCAAGCTCTGCAGTGTTCAGGGGACCCCCAGCGCTGGCCCCCCTGACCACCTCAGCGTTGCCTCCTGCCCTACCCCCTGGGACCACACCTCAAGCCACCTCCCCTCACCTGTGCTCTGCTCCTCTTCCCACACTCCTGGCCAGATAAACTCCTGCTCAGGTGCCAAGGTTGTGCTCCCTTGGCCCCTCCTCGGAAGCCTTTCTTTACCCTCCCAGGGGGGTCTTCATGCTCCCGCTTTGTCCTCTGTGCTCTGTGGGCACTTGGATCACCCATGCCCCTTGCGAGGCTCTGGCCACCCTGTGCCATAATGGCTTCTGTGCCAGGGGAGTCTCTCTGACCCCCAGAGTGGGTGAAACCCACCACGCCAATGATTGCATGAGGATATGACCTAGGGCAGGCAAAAGCCAGAGATACCCAGTTCCAGCCCCATACCACATACTGTGCGCTGCTAGGAGAAGTCACTTTCCCTCTCTGTGCCTCAATCTCCTTCCCTGTAAAACTGGGACTGTACTAGTATCTGCCACCCAGGCTGGGAGAAGTAAACCAAAACATGGGGAACCAGAGCCAAGCTGAGAATGGTTCAGACAGGGGTGAGGAGGCGAGGCACGGAGGGCTGCTTGTTAGCAAAGTTAGAGGGAATGGGCAAAGAGGAGGTGACCAGGGTATTTCTTGGGGAGTCAGGTAGAGAAGTGTCACGGGGTGATTGAGGCAGAAGTCCTTGGGCCGCAGGATTCAGAGGGCGAGGTGTCTTCAGGGCCAGGTCAGGGGAGGCTCTGCAAAGGGGAGGGGTGGCAGACATCTGCACGGGCGTTTGGGATAGGCACTGGGGTGGATGGACATTCAAAACCAATCTGGAGGGAGGGAGGCCGAGGGCGTTCCAGAAGGGGGAGTAGGTGCGGACCTAGAAGTGGGAAGGTCCAAGGCACTAGAATGGTTCAGTCTGGACAGGGTGGGTCCTGGGAGGCACCCAGGGCTGGGTTTGAACCTGACCGTGTCACTTACAAGCTGTGTACAAATAATGCACGCAAATGTGTATGTAATGCTACTTACCCTATGAACCAAGTCTGCCTGAGACTTGGTTTCCTCATCTGAAAATGGGGATGATGACAGCACCTCCCAGGGCTGCAGGGGATTTGATGTGATGCATGGTGGGGCAGAATCATGAAACGCTCCCACTCTGGAGCTGAGCTCTGGGTGTGAATCCTCACTCTGCCTGTTACTGGCTGTGTGACTTTGGCCAGTTACTTAGCCTCTTTTCTCCTCAGTCTCCTTATCTGTGAAATGGGGATCACAAGAATCCCTACTTGGTAGGGTTGAGGGAAGGTTAAATGTAGTCACATAGGAAAAACTCTGAGAGCTCTGCAGGGCCCGTAGTGGACACTTCTGCTGCTGCTATTATTACAGTTTCTGTGTAGATGGCTCAGCTTGAGCCTGGCACATAGTAGGTGGTCAGCCAGTGGCATTTCCCTTCACTGCCTCCTCCCCAGGTACCTTTGGGCTCAGTTTAGAATGGAGTGCTGGGGAGCCCCAGAAGGATAAGGGGCCCTGTCAGAGCAGGGCTGCGGGGTTCCCCTGGCATGTTGGGCACAGAGAGTCTGCAGGATGCAGGGCCAGGGAGGGAGGTCTGCCTGGCCTGGGGAAATGTGATAAGGGCTCATCTCGAGTGGTGGTAAGAGAAGAGAGGGCCCCGAGAGTCACAGGCGGCATTGCAAAGGCCCCAGCCAGCCTTGCCTGTGGGGTGAGGGAGAGGAAGGAACTAGAACTCTGGGGTTTGTGGCCTGGTCGAATGGGGGGCTGTGGGGCTCATGAGCAGAGCTGGGTGGTTGGGATGGGGAGCTGGTCTGGGGAAATTCGCCATGGCCTTGGCCCTGGGTGATCTGAGTTCAGAGATCACCACCCCTTTATGCCTGGCTCTCCTCTCTGGCTGCCTGGGACAGGGGCTGTGGAAGGGCCTTCCATCGTGTGGAAGGGCCCTTCTTCAGGGAATGCCCAGCACGGCTCCTGCCTTGAGTGAAGGAGTTGGCTGCAGCTGCGAGAGTGTTGCATCAGGTGTCATCAGCGTGGCCAAGTCACAGGGAGGCAGCAACAAGATGGTTCAGAGCATGGGCTCTGTCCCCCACTGCCTGGGAAGAAGTCTGCTTTGCCACGTTGCCGAGCCTGTGGTCTTGGACGAGCTGGTTCTCTGTCTGTACCTGGGTCTCTTTATTCATAAAGTGGAGTATTTATAATAGCACCTGCTTCATCAGACAGTTTTGAGGACCCAGTGAGTTAATAAGTGCAAAGCATTTAGAATAGGGCCTAGGGTATAGCGAATGCTCAGTAGATGTTGGCTATTATTGTTATTATTATTCCTCAGGGCCGCCAGGATGGAGTGAGGGAGGAAAGGTCTTCCTTCCATCTAGAGCTGGCCAGAGGGTCCTGGGGAGCCCAGGAAGGTAAGGATAAGGGCCAAGGCCCATCTTCTCAGGAGCCCCGGGGCGGAGGCAGAGCAGAAAACGGGCCTGGGGAGGGGGCACCACGTGGTTCTCCCTGCACCCACTACTCCTGCAGCCCCACCTCCTGGGGGACGCTCCCTGCCCTCCCTGCCCCCTGGTTGTTGCTCTGGCTCTGCCGCTGGGCCAGCCCTTGGGCTCGGCTTGTGGGGTCAGGTGGGAACAGGTGCTCCATGGTTTCTTAGGTCTGTGATTGTGCGAGACTCATTTCACTCCCCCGGCCCGCATCCTGGAGACTCCCTCCTCCTATATGAAATAGGGCTTGATGAACCAACTCCCCAGGCGCTGGAAACTGGGAAATTCCTGACCATATCATTAGATCAACCTTTTTCCTCAACCGCTCAGCTACCCGAGCGCCTCTGCCCATGGCCCCTGGGGATGAACAAATGGACTCCAGACTCCGTGTGTAGGTGGGGAATCTTTATTCAGCAGCAGGGCTGCCTCAGGGGCCGAACTCTCCTCCAACCAAGTGTCCAACTGCTTTGTGCCCGATCTAGGCGCTCGAGCCTCTGGCTGGTGGTGATGACCTCAGGGTCCCCCCCGGAACTCGGGTGGGGGTGCAGGCTGTGAAGGCAGCGGGCTGGGGACAAAGTGTCCGGGGTGGGCTCAGGGCGCCACATCTCCGAGGCAGCCGGTACAGGCGACATTCACACACAGCTCACAGTCGTCATTAGCCATGGTCCCTGGGCAAGGGAGAAAACCGGTCAGCCTACCCTGCCCGTGAACCTCCTGTGGTCCAGGGAGCTGCTGGCCGGGCAGCCAGAGAAGACTGCTTCGGAGGGGGCCTGAGGGCGAGGACCAGCATCTTTCTCACAGATCAGGAGCATGATGATGGAGAAGCAGAGAGTGACTCGGGTTCAAGTCCCGGCCCTCTCCTTCCTAGCGGGGCCTGAGCATGCCTCTTACACTCTCCGGGCTGGAGTTTCCCTGCTGACTCTGTGGACAGCATCAACTGACAGGGTGGCCGTGAAGAGAGAAGACCAGCAAAGGGACTGGCACGGGCCTGGCACTTAGTAGGTGCTCAATAAATGCTAGTAAGTCGCTATTGTCACTGGCCAGTTCTGCTTCTTCCCTCACATTTCAGCTTAGATGTCACCTCCTCTTGGAAGTCTTTCAGACTCCTTATGCCACCCCAGACATGAGCCATCTCTCCTCTGTGTCCCCTGTGCTTCCCCATCAGCCACCGTATTGCAGGCATGGCCTATGGGTCTGTTGTCCGGTGCCCTCTTCCCTCCCATCCGTGACGTCTGGTAGGACAATCGACGGTCCAGGTTGCCAGGGCCTGAGGGGGCAGGCCTTGACTCTCCCTGGCCCGGCCACTGGGTGCTTAATGGAAAGAACGGGCAGTGGAGGAGCTGGGGTGTGGGCAGGACAGCGAGCCAGAGGCAGGGAGCTCCGCAGGGGTGGGGGCACTCACTCAAAGCCTGGAAGACGCTGGCCGCTTCCCTGGATGCACAGATGGGCTGGAGGTCCTGTGGCAGGGCCGGGTGGTGACACACGGAGGGCACGAGGCTCTGGGCCTGGAGGCGGGGGTTGGGCAGCCACTGCTGCTCCAGGTTACTCAGCTTCTTCACTGATTCCAGCTGGACCTGGAAGCCTTGGTACTAGGGGGGCAGGGGAGAGGAGATGAGAGGGATCCGCAGAACCTTCCCTGTTCTCATGGGGGGTCCAGGCCATACTCAAAGGACAGCCTGGGAGGTGGGAGCAGGCACCTGCCACTTCACACCCCATCGTGCCTCAGGCCCCCAGGAACTGTAGATGAGGATCCCATGGGGCTGGGGAGCAGGTGGTTCAGGGCACGGGCTTTGGAGACCAGTGTAAACCCCCTCCCCCACCCCGGTTCAAATCCCACCTCTTCCCAATAGGCCGCCTGTGTCTTCTGCACTCTGAGCGTCATCTGGCAAATGGCCCCTCCCCAGCGCCTGCCACCAGTACAGTCCACGCTGGGTAACTGGGCGATCACCCCTGAACCGACATGGCAAAATGATGGCATCCCCAAGTTGGCCGGGTTCCAAGGCCAGGGACGCAGGGGTGGGGGGAAGGTGACTCTTCCCGTCCCTCCCAAGGAGGCTCCACCCAGAGTTGGGAATGTGACAGGGCCACAGACCTCCCCACTCTTGCTGGCCAGCGGCATCCCACCGCCTGGCAGGCGGACCCTGCTTCCACGACTCCCTCCAGCCTCACAGTTGTCCAGGAAGGAGCCCCTGTCCCCCTGCTGTCTTCTCTCTGAGCCTTTGCATATGCTGTGCCCTCTGCCCTGAGCTGTCCTTGTCCTCTGTGCCTAGCTACCTCCCGCTCATCTTGCAATATCAGCTCAGTTACCTGCCAGGGAAGCTCTTCGGGTGACTCTCCCCCCCTCCACCCATTAATGGGAGAATATAGGGAGCTGTGGGAGAGCCCCCTCCTTCTGGGCTCCCGAAGGGCAGGGACTATGTCTTGTTCCACCTTCTGACCTCTGGCCAGGACCGGCCCTCTGACAGAGCAATGCTGAATAGCAGCGGTTTATTATTGCCATCACTGCTATCATCACTCCCTTCAGCATTCTCGCTGCCACCACCCACCAGCTGTCTTGGTCCGTGGGTCGTGCTTAGGTGTTGGGCTGAGCCCTGGGCCCACCAGCCCTTGCTCCCCTATATCCCATGACGTTTCTAACGTCCCCTCTCCATCCCAGCCCCTCACGGGGGGACCTTCAGGCAAAGGGCACACTGGCCGGAGGGACTCACCTGAATGTAGACTGACTGTGTGCCCTGCAGAAGCACCAGGAGGAACACAGCCATCCCGGACAGAAGTCCTGACGCCATCCTGCCGCGCATCTCACGCCGTCTGTATCCCGCTGCTGCTCCCACAGGCTCCCACCTGCTTCCCCAGCGAGCAGCTCTTTATAGGCCAGGCTCCAGTACCCTTGCCACTCATTAACTGGCCAGCTGGGGCGGGGTTGACAGCTGGTTGGCTGGCTGGGGGTGATGAGGGCAGAGAGGCCCAGAAAACTCAGGAACAAGATACTATGTGTCAGGCACCTGTGTGGGCGGCTCTGTGGGAGGGCCTTGGATACACCCCTCTCCTTAGCTCCACGAGACACCTATTTACATGGAATGATGGGGAGACCATTGTACAGACTGGGAAAGTGAGGCCCAGGAGGTGAATTAACTTGCCTCAGGTCACCAAGCTAGTCAGTGACATAGCAGGGACTCAAGCATCTTTGACTCAGGTCAGCCTATGGTCCTTTCTCCGGGCAAAGGAGGCAGATAGGCTGGTCCAGGGTGAGATGGGCAGACACAGGACTGATGTCAGCACTCTCCGTGGCTCTGGACCTGATTGTCTCCTGACCCTCCACCGGGTTCAGTTTAAGGCCCCTCCTCCTGATCAGTCCCCACCCGGGCCCTCAACCTGCCTGTCTCTGCCACCTGCAAATGGTGCTCGGGACCCTCAGGCCATGTTTGACCCATCTCACCTGTCCGTGCCTTGCAGAAGCCAATCGCCTAACCCAGCATGCTATTGGGTTAGAGGAGGAGGAAAGAACGCCAACCTTGGGGACAGATTGACCTCGGCTCGAATTCTGGTCCTGCTGCCGCTCTATCAGTTTGGACAAGTCACCTCAACGCTGACTGACTGAGCCTGTTTCCCCTTCCATCAAATGGGCATAATGACAAAATCCACTGCATGAGGTTGCTGTGGGGGTGATGGGGCCGGGTCCACTGAGTAATACTTGCCCCCTAATCTCCTTCTAGGCAATGTGTAACCCACTATATCCGTGGCTGAAGGTGGGGTCAGAGAGAAGAGGGCAAAGTCCGCGAGGGTGTTATCACCACTGCCACCAGGTAGCTGTAAACAGTGCCTGAGAGTCAGGACTCACCTCTGCCGGACAGGGAGCCTGGCATGTGATAGGCACCCCACATGTGACATTGAATTGAAGCCCAGGTGGCCCAGCTAGGTATCTGAGGCTCACTCTCCAACCTGTGGTTCAAATTTGCTGTCATCACATGTCCTAAGACAAACCCTACCTGCACATGCCTTTGCTGACGTATTCTATCTGCCTAGGATGCCCATCTCCCTTTCTCTTAACTTGGCAGGAAATGGAGAAGGGCTGGAGTGAACTCTGGCATTTCCTATGTCTAACTCTGAATCCAGACTTCAGCCTTTATTGTTTAGAGTATGAAGGAATTAATGCGCCCTTACATGCTTTCTCATCAGCAAACTGAAAAGAATCGTCGGGAACCATAGCTCTCGTTTCTTGAACAGGCCCCGCGTGCTAGGCCTGGTTTATGTGCACGAGTCCTTCTAATCCTCTAGGAGAGGTGTAATGGTTGTCTCCATTTTCCAGGTGAGTAACCTGAGGCCCAACAAGGTCAAGCACCATGTGAGTGAGAGGGGAGAGCAGGCTTTATCGCTGAGATTCTTGCATCTGCTCAGCTGATGGTGTTCTAGAAAATGGAACTTGGGCCTTGGAGGCAAGAAGATCTCAGTGCTTCTCAACTGTGTGACCTTGGGTACCTCACTTAGCTTCTCCGAGCCTCTGTTTCTTCATCAGTAAGTGTGGGAAATAATGGACAACCTCATCGTGGCTTCATGGGACCAGTCCCATCCCAGAGGAACTGGTGACTCCCCCTGTCCCCAAGCGGACTGTCTTTCCAGCCAGCATCTGGTCCATGGTGACCACGCAGTCAGTGCTGGGTCGTCCACCTCTCCTTCTCCAGGGAGCTCTCCCTGACAAGCCCCATCTCTGAACCTACAGCTGGAACAGATCTGATCTTTGACTCCCGAACCCTTGCTTTCCCCATCAGAGCAAGCTCAGCCCCCCTGCCCCCACACCAAAGGGTGAGGAACAAACCTGGAGGGGCTGGAGGCCCCCCTTTCTCTTCTCTGCCTTCCAGCTCCGCCAGCCAGGGCCCCTCATGTGTTCTTCTTTCCCTGGGAACAAGTTGTGTGACTTCCCTATCTGCCTAACATGACTCAAATTCATAGTTCAGCCCAGCTCCTCCTAATCACTTCACGAATGACCCATTATCTGTCAAAACTAAACCAGTCACAGACACAAACCCTGCCCACCACCCCGTTCGGCCAGCGTACTCTGACGTTTCTTGGGGCGCTTCTTTCTTGAGGGACCTGGGAAACGACTGTCGCGCTAGCCTGTACTCTGGTCCCTGTGCGGAAGCCTCAAACACCACAGCGGAGTGAGTGACAGCTCCCTGTGTGTGTGTTTGGGAATGTCTATCTCCACACGGGGTTCCCCACTCAGGGCCCCCCCGCCGTGGTGCCCCAGAGCCTGTGACCCTCCCTGCCCCTAAATGGACCCCTTCCCCAGCAGAGCAGCATTTGTCACAGCAGACCACCCTGTCTTTCTTGGAATAAAGCATTTTTTCCACTTGCTGACTGGGCCACCCGCTCCCCAGATTTTCTGCCAATCTCATTGGCTCATCTTCTCCGTTTCCTCAGAATGACCCAGGGACCCCAGGGCTCGGTCCTCGGACCACTTTCCTGCGTCCGTAGTCACCAGTGATCTGATCCAGTCTCAAGGACTTAAATGCCACCAGTGCCCTATTCTCTCCCTAACCTGGCCTCTCCCCTCTGTTCCGGACTCCTTTATTTACGAGCTCAGCATCTACCATAACAGTCGATGGCACTTAACATCACCTCATTGCTCAGGCTGAAAATCTGAGTCATCCCTGATGCCTCTTTTTCTTTTATCTGCCAAATTCAATTCATTAGCAAATCCAGTTGGCTCTCCCTTTAAAATATTTCTAGACTCTAACCGTATCTCACCATGTCCACTGCTACCCGAGGTCCAAGCTATCATCCCTGGTCATTGGTCTCACAGATTATTCCAACAGCCTTGTATTAGTCAGAATTCTGCAGAGAAACAGAAACAGTAGAATATGGATACACACAAACACACACACACACACACACACACACACACACATATCCTATTTATATATATATATAAAATTTATATCTTATCCTTCCTTTCTTTGTACAATTTATCTATCCCCCTATCAGCTACCTATCAATCAATCATCTAATCTATGTCTATCTATCTATCTAGATGTATTTCAAGGAACTGGCTTATCTCGTTGTGGGGCTGGCTAGTTTGAAATCTGGAGGGCAGACTGCAGACTGGCAGGCTGGAAATTCAGTAAGAGTTGACACTGCAGTCTTGGGTCTGGGTCTTGGGTCTGGGTCTTGGGTCTGAAACCTGTAGGGCAGGTCAGTAGGTGGCAAACGCAGGCAGGGTCTTTATGTGGCTGTCTTGGGGCAGATTTCCCTCTTCTTTGGGAAACCTCGGTCTTTGCTCTTCAGGCCTCCCACTAATTGGGTGAAGCCCATCCGTGTTATTCACTTCAAGTCCGCTGATTGTAAATGTTAATCACATCTGAACAAATATCTTCATAGCGACATCCAGACCGTTGTTTGACCAAACAACTGGGCACCATAGCCTGGCCAAGGGAGACCTTCGGCTAGATCTCTCTGTACCTGCTCTTGGCTTTCTTCAGGCCCTTCTCCACCCAGAGCCAGAGTGATCCTATCACAGTCTAAGTGAGACCATGTCTCTCGTCTGCTCAAATCTACCAGCTTTCCAGTTTACTCAGGGTAAACCCAAAGGCTTCTACTGTTCTGTAAGCTTCCTTTGGCACCCCTCCAAAGATTTTGAGCTTATCTCCAAAGATTCTGCCCTTCACTCTCTGGATTCTGGCCACACTAGCTTCCTTGCTGTCACCCAAACACACTAAAGGTTGCTTACTTCGGGTCTTTGCTCTTCACCCACTATATATGTGGCTCACCTGTCCCTTCATCCGGGTCTCTGCTTAAATGCCACTTCCCCAAAGAGATCTTGCCGGGCCATCCTACCTCAGAGAGCTTCCCCCATCCATCCTTGTTTTCTTAACTTGCTTTCCTGGAGCACTGGTCCTATATATACATTTTACTTCTTACATTTCTCCCCCTACTGGATTGTAAGCTCTATTAGAGTAAGGAATTTGTCTATTTTGTTCTCCCAAAACAGTATCTGGCACATGGCTGGTGCTCAGCTAACACCTGATGAGTTGAATAAATGAATATATTTGAAATATCTACTCCAGGAACCACTAGATGTTGGGCCTTGGACAGTATCCTACTTCTCCGAGCCTTATCCATCTCATCTAGCACCTTCCTGACACAGGCAAGGAGTCTGGCACATGGTGCGTCTTCAAAAAATGCTGGTGATTACTATTTTCAGAGTTGAGAAATCATTTGTTTATCAAGAAACAGAATCCTCTTTGTGTCTTATGTGCTTGGCAAACTCTAAGGCATCCAATAACTTAGTCACCAAATACTTACTGATGGCCTACCATGCGACAAGCACCAGGGCAGGACCTGGTGGGAGTGCAGGTGTGGCTCTAGGGTGAGAGCTCTTAGCTATCCCTTTAAATTCAAGGCTAAAATGGGAAGATGACAGATTTAAAGAAGGGTCAGCATACTGGGTCCAATGCATGAGGAGGATTGATCTGGAAGGCCCTGTGTGGGGAGCTGTATAAGCCACGGTGTGGTGGATTTCCCAGCAGCCTCCCAAATGAAATGTTGGCCTGTCCCTGGAGAAGTGGGTGACCTAGGGAGTGGTTCTATTTTTTCTATGGCCAAAAGGAAACTCAGAATCAAATATATACCCCAATAGTAGTAACCACACTGAATCTCATCCCGTCTATGTCTTCCCCTTTGTCTCTTTTCCCAGTCTATCCATATTGCACTGATCTTGCTCTCCACACACCCCCAACCCCACCCCACACACTTAACACCCACTCACCCCCTCCACCCACTCACCTTCCCCCACTCAGCCCCA